AACATTAAAAATTTTAAATATACTTTTATATTGCAATAATTTTACATTCAATCTTCGAATTAATGTACAAACAACATAAAGACAGTATATTTGTTTAATGGCATCTTTTTTTATATATATATATATATATTTAACGCTTTAAACTGAAAAAATTAATCGCCTGCGTTAATGCGCTAATTTTGACAGCACTAATATATATCAAAATTAAAATCAATCATAATGTTCCTTCATTGTGATCATTAGGTTAAAAACTGTGAAAAACATTTTTTTAAACTATAATTTTACAGATTAAGTTCTTTTAATTAAATATTATGAATCTGTTTTGGCTTCTTTTAAGCCATTTTAGAGCAGAGGCATAAACATCAAGCTCTGTATCAAGTATCATAAAACGGCTGGAAATATAGAGCTGTAATGCCCTGCATACTGAATGAGAGGTACAGAACTTCAAACCCTAAAGTTTCCCAGCATCCATTTTTGATCCTACACTGATTGAATCCACACCCTGGGGTCTGCTTAACATTTCTATTTCTGTTTTATTTCATAGTGGGTTTTTTTTGGTGCATATCTAATAATAATAATATCCCAAGGTCCCTTCTGTGCTTGATGTCATTTCCTGACTTAAGATCTTGCCTTTGAAGGGCAGTGTGAGCGTTTCCCCCAGCTGTGAAGCCCTGACAGAGAAGCGAGGAGATTTGAGATGAGCATTTTCATTGGGATGTTAAATAAATCAAGATATTAATGCAGCAGGATGCAGTGATAACGTTGCAGTTATTTTTTGAAGTCCCATGATGCCATTGTTTTCATCGTCAGGGGTCATTCATGACGTTTTATTTTTACCCATCAGGTGTCTTATCTTAGGTGGGTGTTGTTTTTCTGTCTGTACTCATGCTGAGTCAGGAAATGAGCGGGAAGCTCCGTTCGGTGGGCGGCAGTGCCCAGTTTGGCACATCGCCGTCTCCAGCTGGTCTCTGATGCCCGTTAGTGTGCCAGACGCGGCAGGCTAGCAGACACCTCGCCCACTCGCACCCGCGCCGTCACACAGCGTCCCGCTGTCCCTCGAACAGGTTCATTCAGCCGACGAGGGGTGTCACTCACACCTGAGGGTGATGCCCGGACATAAGCTGTGATAACACTCCTATTCTATTCTGTTCTGTTCTGTTTTATTTATTTTTTTATTCTATACTTTCCTGTTATAATCTGTTCTTTTCTATTGTAATCTTTTTTGTTTTTTCTATTTTATTCTATTCTGTGCTTTTATGTTTTTCTATTCTAATCTATTCTATTCTTTTCTGTTATAATCTAATCTATTATCTTTTGTTTTATTCTATTCTGTTATTCTATTAACTAAACCTGGCTCTCCTCATGAAAATAGCCATACAAGCTGAAATGTCGTCAAAAAGAAGGAAAGAAAAAAATGATTTTGTTCTATTCTATTCTTTTTTATCCTTTTCTATTCTGTTTTATTCTAAACTTGTTTTTCTATTGTGTTCTTTTCTGTTTTATTCCAATCAATTTAAGTATATTTTATTCTTTTCTGTTTTTTCTATTCTGTTCTTTGCTGTTTTATTCTATTCTGTTTTAATCTATTCTATTCTTTTCCGTTTTATTTTGTTCTATTCTATTCTGTTATAATCTTTTCTTTTCTATTATAATATTTTTTTTTCTGTTTTATTCAGTCCTGTTCTATTCTGTTCTGTTCTATTATAACCTATTCTATTATTTTCTGTTTTATTCTATTCTATTATAACCTATTCTAAACTGAAACCGTACATTTCTGCCATATGTACATTATCTGACAGTCACCACTGATAAGCTACTACTAAATATATTGTAGAAACTTAATTTTCTGTAAGACAGGTTCATTGAGCCGACGAGGGGTGTCACTCACACCTGAGGGTGATGCCCGGACATAAGCTGTGATAACACTCCTATTCTATTCTGTTCTGTTCTGTTTTATTTATTTTTTTATTCTATACTTTCCTGTTATAATCTGTTCTTTTCTATTGTAATGTTTTTAGTTTTTTCTATTTTATTCTATTCTGTGCTTTTGTTTTTCTATTCTATTCTAATCTATTCTATTCTTTTCTGTTTTATTCTATTCTTTCCTGTTATAATCTGTTCTTTTCTATTGTAATCTTTTTTGTTTTTTCTATTTTATTTTATTCTATTCTGTGCTTTTATGTTTTTCTATTCTAATCTATTCTATTCTTTTCTGTTATAATCTAATCTATTATCTTTTGTTTTATTCTATTCTGTTATTCTATTAACTAAACCTGGCTCTCCTCATGAAAATAGCCATACAAGCTGAAATGTCGTCAAAAAGAAGGAAAGAAAAAAAATAGTTTTGTTCTATTCTATTCTTTTTTTTATCCTTTTCTATTCTATTTTATTCTAAACTTGTTTTTCTATTGTGTTCTTTTCTGTTTTATTCTATTCTGTTTTAATCTATTCTATTCTTTTCCGTTTTATTTTGTTCTATTCTATTCTGTTATAATCTTTTCCTTTCTATTATAATATATTATTTTCTGTTTTATTCTGTTCTATTCTGTTCTGTTCTATTATAACCTATTCTATTCTTTTCTGTTTTATTCTATTCTATTATAACCTATTCTAAACTGAAACCGTACATTTCTGCCATATGTACATTATCTGACAGTCACCACTGATAAGCTACTACTAAATATATTGTAGAAACTTAATTTTCTGTAAAGTTGCTTTGCAACGATTTGTATCGTGAAAAGCGCTATACAAATAAACTAGAATTTAATTGAATATTCTTGTTTTATTTTCTTCTGCTCTCTTCTATTCTGTATAATTCTATTTTAATCTATTCTATTCTTTAGTTTTATATATTCTTCTAACATATTCTATTCTTTTCTGTTTTACTCTATTCTGTTGTATTCTGTTCTTTTTTGTTTTTATATTATAAGTTCTATTCTTTTGTTTTATTATATTCTATTATAACCTATTCTTTTCTGTTTTATTCTATTATTTTTTTAATCTATTATTTTATTTTATTCTATTGTAACATTCTATTCTTTTCTGTTTTACTCTATTCTATTCTTGTCTAGTCTATTCTAAGGTTTTGTTTCTTGAATGTTTCTCGTTGGTTCACTGGGCTGGTTTGATCGTAAGATGATGCATCTTTTGCAGACGAGTACAGCGAATAGCCGCTTCTCATCAGTTTTACGGGAATCGTTCTCCAATCAGCAATTCTTCCTGGAGCTGATTGGCTAGTCACGCAGGATTCTGAGTGTTACATGTGAATTTGTGTTGTTTGTAGGTGTTGAGCAACACTTGTATTGTTGACCTTGAAGCAAGACTCATCCCCAGAAATTACACATGCAAACAAACGCATATATAGTATGGCGATGTTTTTTCTTTTATTCTTTTGCAGTAAATAAACCCTGAACATCACCACCGGTTTCCTCTAATTTGCATCTACGACACATTTCATAGAACGTGCTATTTTTAACTACTTCAGGTGAAGTCATCAGTGTGTTTTAATTGCAGGGACAGATGTGAAACTGTAATTAACATTGTGCTTACTGATATGAATGTTAATGATATGCTTCCCCTCAGTGTTCGTAACATGTCGTGGCTGCATGTTTAGCCTGGTGTTGAGCCTCCATCTCCTGCTCTGTCTCATAGTAAATTTGCTGTTTCGTTTTGATTTTGATGTCATTGTGGTTGTCTTTTCATTTACGTCAATTATTTTATGTTCTTTTCTTTTTCTTTTTCTTCCTTTTTTCTCGCCCTCCCTTTCCTCCCTGAACTTTGTATCTATAATTTACCCCCCTTGTTGCCCCTCCCATCACAATCCCCCTTCTATGTACTCAAGACGTTGCCCTTCCTTCACTGACCGATGCCACTACTGACCATGTAGCGTCCAGCCCGTCCGAGCGCAACGACCCGACGCCCTCCGCCCCGCGTGATGTCGTGGCGTCTCTAGTGTCCACTCGATTCATCAAGCTGACGTGGCGCCTTCCTGCCGAGCCACACGGGGAGAACATCACCTACTCTGTGTTCTACAGTCTGGAAGGCACTAACAGGTTAAAGATTCTCAAATATGTCAATGTGTGTTTGCTGTTTAACGTGGACCTACATAGTTTTAAAGAACAGTTTACACTGCCTCTACAGGTTGTTAAAGGAACAGCAACAGGAAATGCAAACTGTAACACTGTGCTGATGTTTAGAATACCATACTAGTATACTACACATACTAAGGATGTGGGGTTATCGAAGGTAAAATTTTAAGAATCGGCCATTGAAAAGCACATTGATCGACCACTAATCTGAGCATTTGGTAAAATGCAAAATCATCAGTGTTTATGTCCCTGAGTATTCTAATCTATCTAATCTATTATCTTTTGTTTTATTCTATTCTGTTATTCTATTAACTAAACCTGGCTCTCATAGCCATACATTCTATTCTGTTATTCTATTAACTAAACCGGGCTCTCCTCATGAAAATAGCCATACAAGCTGAAATGTCGTCAAAAAGAAGGAAAGAAAAAAAATAGTTTTGTTCTATTCTATTCTTTTTTTTATCCTTTTCTATTCTATTTTATTCTAAACTTGTTTTTCTATTGTGTTCTTTTCTGTTTTATTCTATTCTGTTTTAATCTATTCTATTCTTTTCCGTTTTATTTTGTTCTATTCTATTCTGTTATAATCTTTTCCTTTCTATTATAATATATTATTTTCTGTTTTATTCTGTTCTATTCTGTTCTGTTCTATTATAACCTATTCTATTCTTTTCTGTTTTATTCTATTCTATTATAACCTATTCTAAACTGAAACCGTACATTTCTGCCATATGTACATTATCTGACAGTCACCACTGATAAGCTACTACTAAATATATTGTAGAAACTTAATTTTCTGTAAAGTTGCTTTGCAACGATTTGTATCGTGAAAAGCGCTATACAAATAAACTAGAATTTAATTGAATATTCTTGTTTTATTTTCTTCTGCTCTCTTCTATTCTGTATAATTCTATTTTAATCTATTCTATTCTTTAGTTTTATATATTCTTCTAACATATTCTATTCTTTTCTGTTTTACTCTATTCTGTTGTATTCTGTTCTTTTTTGTTTTTATATTATAAGTTCTATTCTTTTGTTTTATTATATTCTATTATAACCTATTCTTTTCTGTTTTATTCTATTATTTTTTTAATCTATTATTTTATTTTATTCTATTGTAACATTCTATTCTTTTCTGTTTTACTCTATTCTATTCTTGTCTAGTCTATTCTAAGGTTTTGTTTCTTGAATGTTTCTCGTTGGTTCACTGGGCTGGTTTGATCGTAAGATGATGCATCTTTTGCAGACGAGTACAGCGAATAGCCGCTTCTCATCAGTTTTACGGGAATCGTTCTCCAATCAGCAATTCTTCCTGGAGCTGATTGGCTAGTCACGCAGGATTCTGAGTGTTACATGTGAATTTGTGTTGTTTGTAGGTGTTGAGCAACACTTGTATTGTTGACCTTGAAGCAAGACTCATCCCCAGAAATTACACATGCAAACAAACGCATATATAGTATGGCGATGTTTTTTCTTTTATTCTTTTGCAGTAAATAAACCCTGAACATCACCACCGGTTTCCTCTAATTTGCATCTACGACACATTTCATAGAACGTGCTATTTTTAACTACTTCAGGTGAAGTCATCAGTGTGTTTTAATTGCAGGGACAGATGTGAAACTGTAATTAACATTGTGCTTACTGATATGAATGTTAATGATATGCTTCCCCTCAGTGTTCGTAACATGTCGTGGCTGCATGTTTAGCCTGGTGTTGAGCCTCCATCTCCTGCTCTGTCTCATAGTAAATTTGCTGTTTCGTTTTGATTTTGATGTCATTGTGGTTGTCTTTTCATTTACGTCAATTATTTTATGTTCTTTTCTTTTTCTTTTTCTTCCTTTTTTCTCGCCCTCCCTTTCCTCCCTGAACTTTGTATCTATAATTTACCCCCCTTGTTGCCCCTCCCGTCACAATCACCCTCCAACGTACTCAAGACGTTGCCCTTCCTTCTGCTGTCCCTTCACTGACCGATGCCACTACTGACCATGTAGCGTCCAGCCTGGCCGAGCACAGCGGCCCGACGCCCTCCGCCCCGCGTGATGTCGTGGCATCTCTGGTGTCCACCCGATTCATCAAGCTGACGTGGCGACTTCCTGCCGAGCCGCACGGGGAGAACATCACCTACTCTGTGTTCTACAGTCTGGAAGGCACTAACAGGTTAAAGATTCTCAAATATGTCAATGTGTGTTTGCTGTTTAACGTGGACCTACATAGTTTTAAAGAACAGTTTACGCTGCCTCTACAGGTTGTTAAAGGAACAGCAACAGGAAATGCAAACTGTAACACTGTGCTGATGTTTAGAATAGTATACTACACGTACTAATTCTGCATCAAACATTTAGGATTTTGGGGGGGGGGGGGTCTAAGGTAAAATTTTAAGAATTGGTCATTGAATAATACATTGATCGACCACTAATCTGAATATTTGGTCAAATGCATCATCGTCAGTGTTTATGGCCCTGAGTATACAGTATATTCTGTGCACACAATGTGGATTTTCTGTATAAAAAACTTAAAATACACAGTTAAACTACTAGATTTAACAATATAAGCAGTAAACAACTAAATCATAGTGTGAAGGTCACTTCATCCCGTAATGTAATGTGTCTACCTACCATTTCCAATGTGATGTCCAGGGTTATTATTGTTGACTAAAATTATTAAAAACATTTTTGTTAATTGAATTCAAGTTTAATTAATGTATGAATATTAGATAAAAAATGTGAAACTAAATGAAAATGTGAAACTTTTCATTTGGGCAACTAACTGAAATAAGTTTGAAGCACTAAAATTAAATAAACTGAAACAAAAATCAATTAAATGTAAATAGTAATATTTAAAAATGAATCAATTATAAATGTTGCCTTGGTAAAATTTCTGAAATAATTTTAAGTTAAAGCACTAAAATTACTTACTGGAAATAAATATAAATTAAAACGGAAATAAAAATAAATTAAACCTAAGTAGTAAAATTTTTTAAAATTACAAATTATTTAGTAATATATTATATTTAATTAATATTAAATGTAATTATTAATAAAAATGACAAAAGCATGTAAAAATCTTTAAAAATCAAACTAAAATTCTAATTTAAAAAATGAAGGGGAAAAAAGCTCATTCAAAATATTGATTACAATCTGTTAAAACTAAAAAATGAACACTGGTGACAAACTGTTTTTTTAACATCTTTTTTTGTTTATTTTTTGACAGATTTGTTCAAATTTAATTAGCTAGCTATGAACATATACTATAAACAGCTAGCTATAAATGTATCAACTTGCTTAATAAGATTGTCTTCAGAATATTTCTGTAGAAGGCACTTTATGCTGATACCCGCTATAGCCTCCCTGTGGCTGCACTTGTGTTATGTTATGAATTATGTTCTGATGCATTCTGGGCACAAATTTGAGCTAGGAACACCTGCGTTCACGTGCCTGACTAGCATGTGAGCTTAATTTTAGGCCTAAAATCATACATCAGACGCGTTTGCGCTATTATGATTTCATATTGCTGTTGTTTTGCTCGCAGGGAGCGTGTGGAGAACACCAGCGGACCGGGAGAGATCCAGGTCACCATCCAGAACCTCGTCCCCGACACCAAGTACACCTTTCGGGTGGTCGCGGCCAACGCTAACGGCCCGGGCGAGAGTTCCACCTCACTTACAGTGGCCACCCAGCTGGAAGGTAAAACACTAACACACACGTACACACACTTCAAGCACGCGTTTGACCGCTAGTGTTGAATACTGGGCCAGGTCTGAGGTTTCTCTCTCTATACCTCTCTCTTGTGACCACACTGGTCCTGTTTGTGCGCGTCCAAACCTACCGGCCGCTTGTTTACCGGCCGCTGTTGAGCTGGGGACGCTGTGGTTTCTTCACAGACAGCCTCTTTCTGTCCGAGCTGTATGAGTGTGGAATTGTAAACATCTGGGTCGGGAAATGTCTGGAAGCATGTGTCAGGATGATTTTCATGGATACAGGCGACTAGTATTAATGAGACGAGAGCTCAGGGATGCAGGTATGTTCGGACCTGTCAGGAAAAATGCGGCCAATGCTTCTGCGAGCCGATCTCACGGGACCAAAGGAGACTTGTGCTGCTCGTGTGTGGCCACGGTCGGGTGAAAATGCCAACTGGCTTGTGCATAGGGCAGATGCAGACTAAAGGAGAAGGAAACTGCATCCCGGTTTGTATGATATCTGTCATATAGTCAGATCAGGATTGTGCATCTTGCATCCAACAGGCCTGCATGAATGTCCATGCATGCTAATATTGCCTTTGCAACGTTGATGAGGAGGAGTTTGTGTGTGATGATTCACTAACAACCAGTCAGTTTACGTTTTTCCCCCCAAAAAAAATATATATATATATATATTATTTTTTTTTGCCTTACAACTTATCATCGAAAATACAAATTGAAAATTACTTTTTAGCTTTTCTATTGAAATCACCTTTCAAATAAAATTTAATGATCTAATCCGTTTCCAAAGTATTAAATCCATATAAATCACTATGAAATATCCTGTTTAACTCAAAAAAAAACAAAAAAAAAAACATTCAGAAGTTTGGGTATTTAATTTTTTTAAGAAATGATTTGCATTAAATTGATCAAAAGTGACAGTAAAGACATTTTACTGTGTTATAATGTTAAAAAATATTTTTTCTTTAAAATAAATGCTGTTCTTTTAAACTTTATATTCATCAAAGAATCCTGAAAAATAAAATGTCACAGTTTCCACAAAAAATATCCATGATATGTGAATGATTTCTGAAGGATCATGTGACACTTAAGACTTGAGTAATGATGCTGAAAATGTAGCTTTGCATCACAGGAATAAACTACATTTTAACATATATTGCAAGAGAGAGCAGTTATTTCGAATGGTAATAATATTTCACAATTCACTGTTTTTACTGTATTTTTGATCAAATAATTGCAGCCTTGGTGAAGAGAAGAGCCTTAAAAACTCTCACCCTCAAGTGGCTTATTGCTTTAATAAAACAGCAACTGTAATATAAGCCACTAATATTAAATGAAGTCAAATGTATTAATATTAATAATAATTACAATAAAAAAAATTGTAGTAATATTTATAATTATTTCATTAGTTTTGTAAAGCATCTTTGAGTACCTTGAAATGCGCTCTACGAATAAAGTTTTATTATTTTTGTCAATAGTCGTATTATTATTAATATGGTTTATTAGTGTAGGATATTTGTAGTTGCCATGCAATGTAGCAACTTAATAAAAATGATTAAATGCATTACTTTTTAATAATATTCTTTATTAAGTAATTTCTTTTTTAAATTAAATTTCCATCATACAGTAGGTGTTTATCAGCTTTCTAACAGCTTTTAATGAGAGTCAGAACTATTTTATGTGTTTTATACAGTATGACAAAGTTTGACAAAGGGGTTTTTGTTATCAAGACAATTTTATAATTAGTTTTCTTGCAACATTCTCAACCTGTCGAAAATAATGTACTTTGAGTGTGCAGTTGAAGTTTGTGAACTGGGATTCATCCTAGTAGCTGTTTTGTATTCTGCACTTCCCGTTTGACTTATATGGACAAAACGAATTAAAGCAACACCAATGTCTCTTTTTAGGTCTTTCTAGGTCAAAACTCCTCCGTTTCCTTTGCATCCCACACGTGGAGCACAATGCATTTCGCTCGTTTGAAGTGTCAGAATATCCTCAGCGGGATTCAGATGCTGCTTTCTCGCCAGAATAGTCTTCTTTTACCATGTGATATTGTCATTATTTAAAGTATCCAGCTGCGGTGGGTTGAAACGTGTCGTCTTTTGTCACTACGCGCTGTTGAAGTTTGCAAAAGCGAAAAAAATAAGTGCCAAACAAAAGAAAAAAGACGCTTTAAGTAGAACTGTAAGCAGTGGAAGACACTGTGAAGAAATTACTTCAGTGGCCCTTTGTTTTCAAACACATACTTAAAGCTGAAGCACAGACAAATGCGCCTTCGTTTCTTCTGCTTTACTTTCACGTCTTGTTCCTAAAACTTTATAAAAAAGCGAAATATTAACTTTAGGGTTTTTGTATTCATGCAGGAGTCGTGCGGATTTGTATCTGTTTTTTTGAGATGTAGCTCTGAAGTTGTTCCGTCCCCTGCGTGTCTCAGTTCAGGTCCCGGGTCCGGCTCCGAATCTGCAGGTGGTCTCCGTCAGCACTGCCTCAGTCACGCTGAGCTGGGAGAGACCCAGCACTGGAAACGGCGGCTCTACGAATAAAGTTTTATTATTTTTGTCAATAGTCGTATTATTATTAATATGGTTTATTAGTGTAGGATATTTGTAGTTGCCATGCAATGTAGCAACTTAATAAAAATGATTAAATGCATTACTTTTTAATAATATTCTTTATTAAGTAATTTCTTTTTTAAATTAAATTTCCATCATACAGTAGGTTTATCAGCTTTCTAACAGCTTTTAATGAGAGTCAGAACTATTTTATGTGTTTTATACAGTATGACAAAGTTTGACAAAGGGGTTTTTGTTATCAAGACAATTTTATAATTAGTTTTCTTGCAACATTCTCAACCTGTCGAAAATAATGTACTTTGAGTGTGCAGTTGAAGTTTGTGAACTGGGATTCATCCTAGTAGCTGTTTTGTATTCTGCACTTCCCGTTTGACTTATATGGACAAAACGAATTAAAGCAACACCAATGTCTCTTTTTAGGTCTTTCTAGGTCAAAACTCCTCCGTTTCCTTTGCATCCCACACGTGGAGCACAATGCATTTCGCTCGTTTGAAGTGTCAGAATATCCTCAGCGGGATTCAGATGCTGCTTTCTCGCCAGAATAGTCTTCTTTTACCATGTGATATTGTCATTATTTAAAGTATCCAGCTGCGGTGGGTTGAAACGTGTCGTCTTTTGTCACTACGCGCTGTTGAAGTTTGCAAAAGCGAAAAAAATAAGTGCCAAACAAAAGAAAAAAGACGCTTTAAGTAGAACTGTAAGCAGTGGAAGACACTGTGAAGAAATTACTTCAGTGGCCCTTTGTTTTCAAACACATACTTAAAGCTGAAGCACAGACAAATGCGCCTTCGTTTCTTCTGCTTTACTTTCACGTCTTGTTCCTAAAACTTTATAAAAAAGCGAAATATTAACTTTAGGGTTTTTGTATTCATGCAGGAGTCGTGCGGATTTGTATCTGTTTTTTTGAGATGTAGCTCTGAAGTTGTTCCGTCCCCTGCGTGTCTCAGTTCAGGTCCCGGGTCCGGCTCCGAATCTGCAGGTGGTCTCCGTCAGCACTGCCTCAGTCACGCTGAGCTGGGAGAGACCCAGCACTGGAAACGGCGAGATCCAGACCTACAAACTCTTCTACAGCGAGAAGGGACAAGACTCGGAGCAGGTGAGGACGCATGAAAGCTGGAAATCAAGCTGTAGTTTAGAAACATTTAGAAAGCTTGATTATTATATCACAGCCAGAAGCTCCTTAACATATGATCACCCAGGTTTACAGCGACTTGGCCTAACCTGATGAATGGCAGACTAACACAGAAGTACCATGATGCTATCATAGTTTATGCATTATTTCATTTTGTTTTGTACCATAGTAATACCATGAAAATATTCAGACAGATATGATTATACCATGTTTCTAATACATTTTATACAATTATGTAATTCATTTTATGTATTATTTTTTTCGACACTTACTATTATAATGACATTTACAAATGTTTTTACACATTTACTGTGGTAATACTCTGTTTTTTGATAGTAGTTTTTTATATGTTTACTATTATAATACTGTGTTTTCCATATATTTTTACACACTGTGGTACCACCATGTTTTTGTACATCTGTTTTATGCACATTTACTGTGATCATGCGTGTAATGCCATGCATGTAATACAATGTTTTTATACATAATTAAAACATGGTATTAAATTAGTTTTTGGGAGATTTTCTTATATAATATACCTTTTTACATATATTTTTGTACATTTACAATGGCAATATTTTGACAATATATATATATATTTTTTAATTACTATTATACCTTTTTTTTTAAATTTTTTTTTACATATTTACATATATTTTTGTAGATATACATCTTTTTAAAAATTTTTTTTTTTTTTACTATGGTAAAACCATTTTTTACATGTATTTTGTGCATGTGTTGTGATCATGCCCTGTTTTGGGCATCAGTTTTTTGCACATTTACTGTTGTTAATACCATGTTTTTGTTTTTTTCTCAATATAGCTTTACATATTTACTTTTGTAATACCATGGGTTTTTTAACATATTTGTTTGCCATTTACTATGGTAAAACCTTTTTTTTTTTTACAAATATTTTGTGCCCATTTACTATGATTTTATCCTGTTTTTTATGTCGTTTTTTGGACATTCACTATTATAATGCCATGTTTTATATATTTTCTGTGTGCATTTACTATGATATTACCCTGTAATACCATGTTTTTGGCACACTTGTTGGACATGTATGTTTGTTGTTTGTTTTTGTGCATCATATTATAATAATACCGCACTGGATTACCATAAATATGCTATGATATATGAATATGGTATTCATTCAGTAGCATAGTTACTTATCATGATAGCACCACTGCATTTTTATGTAAAGATGTTAGGGTTAGGGTTAGCAAAAATCAGGGGTCAGTTACAAAGAAGTCTTAAAGAGACAGTGGCAGAAACAGAGAGAGGGTGGAAAATAGTCGTAAAAATTGTGCTTGTTTTTATGTTGACTTTAAATGCTACAGTAAAAGCAGTGCAGGTAACTGATGTTTGTGTTTTTTCTGCAGGACATGGACGTCACGGGTCTGTCCTACACTGTGACGGGCCTCAAGAAGTTTACAGAGTACAGTTTCAGGGTTGTGGCGTACAACAAACACGGCCCCGGCGTCTCCACTGAGGATGTTGTGGTCCGAACGCTGTCTGACGGTGAGCCTTCATGAAGTCTGACGCTTAGACGTGTTACTTTGAACCTCCTGACTTAATTTTCCTTCGCTGCTGGTTTGATTTTCTCTCTCTGCCTTGACTTGACTTCACTTAAAAGTGCCTCCATTTAGATGAAGATTTGGCATTCACACAGATTTGTCAGTGATTTGATCTTAGTATGCATGAGCATGTTTTTATGTCACTGTTGTCACAAGACTCGTGTAAGTGACATGCTAACATGTTCGCTTTAGTTCAGTCTTAAAGCAAAATAATTAGCATACAGGAAGGCAAATGTTTTTCATTGGTTCAGTATAGCGGTTGGGTTTTGTGGCTTTCTTGACTATGAAACGACACAGAAAACAAGTGCATCTGTTTTCTCAGCTATGTGAAGTCGGATATGGACAAAATTAATCAGTTAATCTGATTATTCGAGTACCGCACCTCTCTACACTAGTCCTCAGACCACTTATAGAAAAATTAATGTTAGAAATTACAAGGCTCAAAGTGGTGGCTGAATATAGTTCATTCAAGACTTGAAATTTGTTTATTTATATTATTTATTTATGCTTTTAATTATTTATTTAACTAATATTTATGTATTTATTATTTTATTGATAAATATATACAATAATTATTATATTATAAATAATAATTATTATTATTGTTTCATTTGTATTTTCATATGATTAAGATTTATTTGATTAATTTCTGAATACAGCTCCTCTCTGCAGACCATTTCTACAGAAGTGAGAATAAAATGTATCTAAAAAAATGTATTTATTGAATTCATTTTAAATTAAATAAATTAACTAAAACGTAATTTATTATAAATTAAAGTAAAATCTGTCTTTTATATAAATAAAAATATTTATTTATAGTACTTTATTTATTCAAATAATTGTATTTAGCTATGTTATACTTTGATATGTATAAAAACGTAAACCAAAGAAAATATATATTTTTTAGTGTTTTGAAATGGTATTTTTTAGAGACTTTTCAGCATCGGATTAATTATAAATATATGAACATGTTGATATATTCTCTCACCATTTTCTTTACAATTAATCGCTGTGTCAAAATAATATTTATTTATTTATGTGATTCTCTAATATGCATAATAATTAAAATGGGCAGTTTTTTTAGTTCAAATAATTTTTTTTAAATAGAGATTTTCGCAATTGGATGAATTATACTTATATCAGAAATACAAAATGTTTGCTCGCCATTATTTTTATTTTTTTCCCAATTTATCGCTGCGTTCAAAGTCACATGTGAAATCAATTTGGTGAAGAACTAACTTCATGCTTCAGTAAGAAGCAATAAAGTTAATTTTAATGCAAAATGAGGGCAACATAATTACGCTTCCTGACTTTTGTGACAGTGAGACTATGATGCCTTAAAATGTCATCTATGTAGGGAGCTGGCCATATTTTCACTCTCTCATGCTCTGGTCTCTGTGGGACGTGAGCGAGACGTCCTGTCACAGAAAGACCTCCGGGAAGACGGCGAGCGCGTGACAGGTGGTGTTGTAATCATACACGCTCACTCCGCGGCGGAAAGCACACAAGTGTAAATAATATAATGAAGTGTTTTATTAAAGCGAGCTGTTGACGCTGGCACGCACACAAACACACATAAACAATGGCTGCTACTGTCTCCGCCGCGAGCGTAATCCTCCAGCGCTCATTTAAAGGACAAGAGACAGAACAAAAAGCAGAATGAAGGTGTAAAAAAACGACACCCACAGCCGCATCCAAAAATAAACATCCGTCACGAGTCTTTGAATGTGGGTCTCGGTGGATAAAGCAATTATTTGAGTGGAGTTCTCAATAATAAATCTGTTGTGTGTTTCAGTGCCGAGCGCCCCGCCGCAGAACCTCACTCTGGAGGTCCTGAACTCAACGGTAAGATCCTCTTTTATTAGTCGAGTGCTCTGCTGATGAATGTTTTAGTGTTGTAGTGATTAAAGATCTGGGTACATCAGCCACTGTGGGCTTTGAACCTTCATCACCATCAACCTATCACCAGTTTGGCCTTGATGAAGACACCTCAGGCCAGGAAAATAAGCCCAACAGTAGCTTAAATACTACAATTACTAAACTCATTGATGTTACTGGAAAACCATAGGGGAAAAATATGGAAACCGTATAGGAAGCATTCAGAATTTTTCTGTCATTTCTGACTAACTGTATGTGAAACAATCTCGTGGAGAAATCAACTGATGTAACTAATAAACAAATGTAGCTTAGTTTTTATATTTATAGCATATAGCCTAGTTAAGCAACATGACTGAGAGTGAAGTTTTCCCTGAAACCACGATAGCAAATTTGACATTGATTTTATACAAGAGTTCAAACGAGTAGTCAAGTCACCTTTATTTATATAGCGCTTTTAACGATACAGATTGTCAAAGTGGCTTTACAGTATTAAATAGGAAAATAGTGTGTCAATAATGCAAAAGGACAAAAGTAAACACTAATTTTTCAGTTAAAGGCAGTTCATCAGTGAATTCAGTGATCATCATCCAGCTCACTTTAGTTCAAAAGTAGTTAATATAGGCTACGGTACAAAAATTGTCAATGTTGACTCTTCTTGCTCGATTTGGTTAACGAAAATAGTTCCAAACAAGGAACTATTAGAATATGGAATATGGAGTAATTAGAATACGGGAGAAATTGTGCTTCATTGTCATAAAAAATGACAACACACTGCAAACCCTTTATCTTAAAGGGTTCCCAATGGTCCCAAAAGTAGCTAGAAGACCAATTTTTCCTTATGCAAAATGTAATATCTTAATTCTTCTAATTTTGGGGTGAAATATGACTCGGACATGTTCTTGACAGTTCTTGCGAGGTTCGTCCAATCAATGACATTTTGGCCATGATACGTTTCTGTAAGAGCCTGTAATAAGTTACTTTAAGTCTGTTAAAATTAGTAATTACTCATTAGTCACTTCCCGAAACAGAAGTTAAAGATTAATTATCAGTACCGGCCAAATGCAGAGAGTTTGTATGCTTTCATGTGCATGCTTGCCACCGTCAGGACTGTAATTTAGATGAGGCATCTGGCAGTCAGAGCTGATCCTGGATCATCTCCTGTTTCATGGAGCATACTTGGGTTTTTTCTTCATTCATTATTGCGTAGCCTGAAGGCTTTGCTCCTCTCAGCTGTCTTTCTGAAATGAACTCATGACGCATGACAGCATTGGCTCTGACAGCTCTCTGGCTGACACACTCTTTGCAGGCGCAGCTGAAGAACTGCAGACCTCTAGACGTTTATATAATGCGCTCCGCTGCTTAATTAAAATCCACTAACTTTTGAGACTCGACTCTCGCTGAGATGGCTTTGCTCTGGTTCTAAGCTCAGCGTGTGTCCTGTTTTACGCCCCAGAGCATCATGGTCCGATGGCAGCCGCCTCCCCCTGGTACCCTGAACGGAGAGCTGACGGGGTATAAATTACGCTACCGGAAAGGACTCAGGAGAGCAGACACAATAGAGATCTCAACCACACAGCTCTTTCTGCTCATTGACGGTACGACAAACCCCCATCCCTACAGAACACGCTTTTAGTTTCATTTTTGTACTAGTGTAGTTTTTATTCATAGTTGAATTAGTTAATTTTCATTATTTTAATTTTAGTAATTTTATGTGCTTTTGCATTTTTATTTTTTGTTTAAAAATATTTCTATATGGCAATAAGTTGTTTACATTTAGATATTTATATTTTATTTCAGCTTTTAGTATTTTTATGTACTTTTGTCATTTTTATTATTATTTTTTATTTCTATATAGCTTTAATATTTTTTTATTAATGTTAGAACTGCAGCTTATTTTTATTTCTGTTAACATTTCTAATTTTAATTTTATAACATTTCAGAATTTAGATTTTTCATCTGATATTCATATTTTATTTTATTTCAACGTTTAGTTTTTGTTGTTTTATACTTTATTATTTTTGTTATTATTTTTGTAATTATTTCTAAATAGCTTTTTTTATTTGTAGCTAATAGCTGATTTTATTTCAGTTTTAAAAACTTCGAACTGCAACTTAAACTCGTTTTTATTTCAGTTAGTTGCCAAGACACCATTTCTAATTTTCGTTTAAGTTTTTAAACGTAGATTTTCATCTAATATTTATATTTTATTTCAGCTTTATTTAGTGATTTGTATTTGCTTTTGTCATTTTTATTATTTTTTTATATTTCTATATAGCTTCAATACATTTATATAGCTTTCCAGTTCAAGTAATCTTAGAACTGCAACTTAAACTGCAAAATTTCATTTCTTTTTAAAACATTTATTTTTCCCATGTAATATTTTTATTTTTATTTCATCTCAGATTTATTTAATCATTCGTATGTGCTTTTGTAATTGTTATAATTTTTATTATATTTCTATGTATATTTTAATGACGATTTTGGTTTTTAAAACATTTTTTTTTTATTATTTAACTTATTTAAAAAATATTTTTTTCTATATAACTTCAATACAGCAATATAGCTTTCCAGTTCAAGTAATCTTAGAACTGCAACTTAAACTGCAAAATTTCATTTCTTTTTAAAACATTTATTTTTCCCATGTAATATTTTTATTTTTATTTCATCTCAGATTTATTTAATCATTCGTATGTGCTTTTGTAATTGTTATAATTTGTATTATATTTCTATGTATATTTTAATGACGATTTTGTTTTTTAAAAATTTTTTTTTTAATTATTTAACTTATTTAAAAAATATTTTTCATCTAATATTTGTTTTTTATTTCAATAACTAAAAAAAACACTATTTTTAATTGTTTTAGTTAATGATAACAACACTTCTACCAAATAAAATAATTAATTAATGGTGACAAAAATCCCTCGGATTTACTGGAAGGGACTCAAGTCATATCTAGCATATCTTTTGACTTGAATCAGTGAGAAACCACTTAGAAATGGGCGAAAACCCATTTTTACTCAGGAAATGTAAAGAATAGTGTTTAGGTTGCTGAGTCTAGAGAACTGCCACTTATGTAACACATAGTTTGTGTATTTAATTCAGCGCCTCGTGACATGAATGCTGGTTTTGTTGTCTTTAAGGTCTGGAGAAGGGAAAGGTTTACACCGTGAGAGTGTCGGCCTCCACCGTGAACGGAACCGGCCCGACAACCGAGTGGATCGCAGCCGAAACCTTCGAGAACGACCTGGACGGTAAACAAACACGCCACTTTTCCTCCTTCACTTTGACTTTCTTCCCTGGAGCTTCCTGCTGGTGTAATTCTCTGTGTGTGTCAGGTGTGTTTGTTCGGGATGTGAAGAACTTTATTTCTCACGTATCAAACGGCAGACTTCATCAATACTGAAAGAGCCGCTGCATAATTCACTCGTCCTTCCACTGGAGGAGTCTGTTAAACGCTCTTCTGGTGTGAGACGGAGAGGGGAATCCTGGGAAAATGGCATTTGTTTAATGCACTTCTATTGTTAAATGAAAAGCCTTTGAATTATTTGGATTAATGTGTCCGTTTAAAGACTCCGAATGCCATAAGAAGAAAACTGGCGCATGGCTGCTGAGTCGGTTACAGTAAATTCAATTGATTTCAGGCTTGAGAAAGCGCTGATGTGATTACTCGTGACATCGGGCTCAGATAATCGTGTCTGAGCTGTTAGGTTACTGCCACAGCTGTTGTGTTAGATCTGTGTGGAAGAAGTGAAAAGATCCACCACTTTCATGTTCTGCCCGTTTCCACTGTTAGTGTAAAAGAATGGATAGAAGGAACATTTTGGGTCATTCACTTAAGCCCAAAATCAAAGAGAAAAAATATCACATTAAATAAATATATTAAATAGTTTTAAAATATGTTGCATAGTAAAATATTATGTATATTAGCAAAATAAATATTTTCAGGCAGTTATGGCCATTTTTTGGGCCATTCATTCATTCATTCATTCATTTAGTCAAGAACATTCTGAGAACATTCATTTCACCACAAAATAAACAGAAAGATTATAGTAAATTTTAATTTGTATGAAAATATTACGTCCATTTTGAGGACCATTACAGCCTTTTCTGGGCCATTATTTTTACGAGCATTTTTTGCTTTTTGTCAAGAGCATTCTGGGTCATTAATTTCAACCCAAAATGAAGAAGAAAATTATAATAAATTATATTTTGCATTAAAAAATGTCTATTTTAGGGCCGTTTTTTGTATTTTGTCAAGAACATTCTGGGTCTTTCATTTCAACCCAAAATGATGAGGAAAATAATAATAAATTATAATATAATATTATTATTATATTATAATAATAATAATATATATGGCCATTTTTAGGGCCATTTTAACAGTTAAGCACAAATAAATACAATTAAGCACATACTGCCCATAATTTTGTTACTGTAATAGGAAAAAATGTTGATTCATCATTTAAGTGCAGTTGTTTTTATTATACGTCATGGTATTATTTATTGCATTCATTATATTTATTGATTATTTAAATAAATAGTGTGAGTTGCATGTGATCATCAGAATTTAAGGGGGATTTAATTTAATCTAGAATTTAATGTGCTCAGTTATCATTAAAATACTATCACAATGAAAATAAGCATTATGGTCAAAAATCGATTTAGTTTTTGTTATATAAATTATAATTTATTATTACTATTATGAGGACCCAGACATTTCCTTTTGAGATTCAGCCAGTAATTGAAAGTCATATTTCTGTGTTGAAGGAAGCTGCTGGTGTGTTGCGAGAGGAACATTTCTTGTGTGTTTTTCCCTTCCATCCTCATCAAAGAGCAGCAGGAACTCTGAAATGAAGGGAACAAACAGACACGGAGGCATTTCGGCTGATTTAGACGGCTGAGTTTGATTAATAGCTTGTATTTTCAGTGACAATTGGACCCCGGCACTGTGTGTGTGTGTGTGTTCGTGTGTGTGTGTGTGTGTGTTTGTGTTTGTGTGTGTGTGTGTGTGTGTGTGTGTGTGTGCGTTCAAACCCTCTTTGGGCTCATTTCCATCTGCTAAAATGGGAAAAGCTCTGTGACAGCCAGACCAAAGCATCTCTCTCAAGCGCTAATGCCTCCGCTTCATCCGCTCCTACTTGAATTAGCCCCACAAATAGGCCAGTGTTTGAAATAATGAGTCAATTTAATGACTCTAAATCCAAAAGGTTTTGTCGGAAATTAGCAGCGTTGCCTTATAAATCAGAGCAGAACATTAGAACCGGCCGCTAAGATAAATTCAAATTGCGTTTCACTAATAAAACGAAGCTGTCTGTGGATCCGTTTACACAAGTTTTGCTTTTAAGCTTGGCCAAAACAAATAGGAATGGATTTCTCTGCTCTTACAGCAGTCAGCTCAATATACGCTAATGAATTTGTGCTTAACAGCTGCTGTTTAGCTCAGCGCTACACCCGACCTGAGCTCCAATGCTGTAAACATTCATTTCATGCTTGATTGTGAAATTGTTTTCTGACAGTCCTCTCAGTGTGTTTGTGCTTGAAAGAGAACATTGATTGATGTCATTTCAGCAGGAATAGTCTCTATTGGAGGTTTGTCTGCTACACTATCAATTTTGTCTGCATACTTTCAATTTCATTCTTAAGTGTTATTTGTGGTTTTAAATATATTAAAATAAAAATATCTGAATACATATGAATGAATGATGCATTTATATAGTGCTTTATTGTGTATTGTTGTAATACTTTTTCAATAAGAATTTTTTTAAATTATTGTTTAACTTTTTTAATTTAAAATATCAAATCATATAAAATGTGAAAATTGTCAAAGATGAGCACGTTCTAGCTTGTGTGTGTTACAGAGTCTCAGGTTCCAGGAGTGCCGAGTTCTCTTCATGTTCGTCCGCTGGTGAACCGAATCGTGGTGAGCTGGACTCCTCCAGAAAACCAGGACATTTTAGTGCGAGGTTATAAAATCGGATACGGAATCGGCAGCCCTCACGCCCACACAGTCACTCTGGATTACAAGCAGCGTTTCTACAGCATCGATAACCTCGGTGGGTGTAACGCCACAAACAGTCAGTCTGATGCTGACATTAGGTGTGTTTATAGACGCTTTTAGACTGTTTATCATGTCTTCCACTCCAGATCCCAGTTCCCATTACGTCATCACCCTCAAGGCGTTCAACAACATGGGCGAAGGCATTCCCATCTACAACAGCGCCACCACGAGACCTCAATCCGGTGAGACTCTCAAACACACTGACTGTACCATAGTTTGAGGTTTTTATTGTGCCAGCTTTCACATGTCCTTGTCTGCATACTTTCAATTTCATTCTTAAGTGTTATTTGTGGTTTTAAATATATTAAAATAAAAATATCTGAATACATATGAATGAATGATGCATTTATATAGTGCTTTATTGTGTATTGTTGTACACCCAAAGAACTTAACAATCATATGAAAGTTGAATAATATTTCGAAAAAATATATATATATATAAATATATTTGTTCATTTTAATAAAATATTGAACTTGTTTTTTTTTGTTATTATTAAAAAAACAACCAGTATTTTATATATATATATATA